GCACGACTAGCTCGTGCACCGCGGTGCCTCCGTACCCCCTCGAGTATCAAAGCCCCACCTTTGGAACTGTAAACAACAATAAAACCCTATTTGAGGCGAGATATGCCGACGGAACTGGTGCGTGGTTATATGATTCTATACTTGAAGTGATGCCGAGCCTGCTCCAGTGGCTTCCGGGTTCGTTGCAACACAGTCGGTGCGAGTGGCAAATGTGACAGTGTCGGAGCAGGCATTTGGTCAGGATGTGCTCATCTGCCGCCTGATGTCTTTCGCTCACAAGATAGTACAGCTATTGTAACTGACTGCAATCTGACGATGACGGACGACATAAGTGGCATTCTTGGGCTTGGATTTCCTCGACTTTCAAGCATTTCGGCTTCGGTGAACGGCTGTACGCTCGTATACCTGAACGTGCACATCTATTCTAATTTATATGAAAGCCACACCGTTTTTCTCGAAACTAGCCCAACAAGGCATTTTGGAGTATCCGCTTTTTGGTGTCAGCTTAACAAAGGATGCAAGAGGGTCGTTATCCCTCGGTATTTGTTCAGCATTCTTTTCCATCCGTATCTAAAGCCTTTTTAGGTGCCATCGACACTACCATCGTCACCAATGTTAGCAAGATTGATTGGAACAGCGTCGTCGAATTTCCGCCCATTGGCGCAGAAAACAACGCGTCCAGTTACTTGTATTGGGTCACGGTATGTTTTCAGCCCAGCTGTACGGATTCTCTGGCTCACGCCAATCAAGCCATTGTCTGCCTTTGCAGTCCGTATCTTCTACTTTGTTTAGGAACTTCTTACCTATGCACCATAGGTGAATAACACACAAATGTCACCCATGCCAACATACGGGAGCCGCACTGCCAATTCATCTCTGGCCTTGATCGACATGTATGTATGCTCAATTTTTTAAAATCATGTTTTCATGTCTGGCAGCGGAACATCCGGTATATATGGTCCATATCCAGACGTGCGTTCAGACAAATAAATATTGACCGTCATTCCTTTTATAACCCACGCTTTCAGGTAGAACGTCTATTTGCAAGAATTGACGGTTCCCGCCTCGTTGACGACGGTAGGCATCTGAACCATTTTTTGCTATGGAAAGTAACTGTTACTTCAGACGGACAGTGGGTTATTCCCTGTGAAACGACTGTTCCGATGTCCTTTACATTCGGGTATGTTGCATGTGGATGGCAGTTGTCTTCAATTCCACCTAGTCTCACTGTTCCCAGCCAACAAACATACACCCTTGAACCTACTGATTACTTGATTGGACCTACTTCCGGGGATCCGGCAGTTTGTCTGTCGTGGCCAAGAGCTCTTGCCCCTAGCGGAGACGGAATCGACTGGCAATTCGGTACGAACGTTCTTGTACGCTTTTGTCTTGAAACTCATAAAACAAGGTGGCCCTTTCCTGCGCACCGTCTACTCGATTTTTAGGTATGCGACGTTCACGCTTCAAAGGCACAACTTGACCAGCACCTAGTTATGGAATCAATTTAAAAGAGGCACCTCGAATTGGATTTTATTCCTTACAAAACAACACAGAAACCGTTGACGCAACAGCCGTTAAAGCTTTCTTGTCGTCTGTGTCCGCTACTGTCGCTACGACACTCCCAAACTCCCTTCTACCAACTCCCTCCATCTCGACACCTGAGTACGTATTCAATTCGTCAATCCAGGCGCCGACTGGCGGAATTGTGTCGTCCGCTCTCGCGACAAGCACTTACAGTGCGATCTTCGGGAAAAAACTTTCAAATGTCACATCCTTACCTGCTATTACCCCTGCCCCTACGGTCACCGTCGTCGTTACGACCAATGCAGAAGGAGCTAACACCACATTTACCTCAGCCATAGAAGCCTCTTTCCACCTCGGGTTGCCTCCGGGGTGGAGTGCTGCCAATGGTCTGCATGTTTCCCATTTGCCTGTCTTCTCATTCGTCTTGCTTGTTGTGACGACTCTTATCTTATAACATATTACATGTATTGACTGTCTTATACCCACCTAATGACGGCAAATGGACCATCATTTTAAATACATTTGCACGAGTATGTGGCGTGCATGCGAGAGATGAATTACTTGTTCTATTTAGGTAAATTCTCCCACTCCTTCCACCAGGCTGGTGTAGCTTTTACCCTACGATCACACAAGGATTCTGCGTAGGCTTTCACCTCTTGTATAGTTTTCTCTTGACCCCCGGTGACCTCGACTTTCGAGATGTGCTGAAAACATGTTCTTTTAACAAGTACCACACAAGACGACACAAAAAACGACAAACATCAGCAAAAGTATGAGCCTTTGCACGTTCCTGACCCAGCATAAAAAATATTCGGACTTGTTTCACTTCCTCCTTGGTGAAAGGTCGAATACGAGGGTCGCCCATTTTGCGATCATCGACGACCAATCGGCGCAAGGAGTCGGGAGTAAAAAAATTGTCCACCCATCGATGCCAATCAGGTATGTGCAATGGTTTCCGCAGCGTCCACGTCGGTGGAATAACCAGGTTAGAAATGTTGGCAAAAGTAGTGGGCCTTCCGCGAGCATACCAAAGGTATCTAGATTCCGGGTTCTTCTGTGCCTCAGCTTTCTCCAACCACTCTTCCAGGGTCGTGGTGATACGAAGAAATAGACGCGTTATCGAATCCGCCAAATCATTGCCCTTGACGTCGGAAACTTTATGGGGTATTTTAGGGCCGGTTTGTTCTGTATCATCAGTAACAGAGCTCGAGTCTTCGTTAGGTTCTGGTCTTTGAACTCTTTCCACGAAGATACGTCCCTGTTCAAGTCAGCTGAAACGCCGGGAACAGCCGATAATGGACGAACCTCTTCGCTGTGTGCCTCTAGCAAGACAGTTTTGGATACATATTCAAAACTATACTGGGCCAGGTATAATGGAATTAGGACCGGATATGCACTGATCTTGTGGTGCGGGTCGTCAAGCGCTCTCTGATTGAAGTATAGGAAACTAGCGGACCAGGTTAGTGTGTATTGACGATGGCTCGATTTGAATGTCTTCATCGATGCGACAATCGCTTGCAGGCAGTGAGTTGGCAGCATCCAGGATTGAAAATGGGGTTGTCATGAAAGGAAGACAGGTCACTTTGGTGTCGAATTGAGTTTCAAGCTCGGCCGAAAATGGAACCGTCTCGCTGACAGCAAGGTTTTCGGAAAGAAGGGAGACAGATGAGAGTTTGTCCATAGTATGACCTGTATACGTTCGGTGAGATGCAATACTACTTGGCACTGGCATTTCTTGCTACCGGGTAAATATCTATGATGAAAAGATTAAATTGGCAAATTAAGGAAAATTTGCAGTCACTCACGAGTTGATAAAAACAGCGGTAACATTGCCCTACGAAGCACTCACGTCTCAGCCGAAATGATTTTTATGGAAATAGCAGACGAACATTCTCAGATCCAGAAGGTCCTGGAAATGCAGTACTGGCCTCTATCTCGGCATCGATGAACCATGCCGGAAAATAAACTGAACTTGGCTGAGCTGAGTGTATGAACTGAACGATACAAAAAAGCAACCTGGAACAATCTTCTCTGGCTGTACGGGACCTGAACGCGTCAATGACCTGAAAAGGGCCGCAGGATCACCCGATCCCAAAACGGTTAGGCTTTGTGAGATTTCAAGAATTGCGTCGGACGGAGAAAGTTTGAAAGGGTAAGCTAGATGAGCCCAATAAGGAACATTCGACAGGTACGAAATGTATCGGACCTCGAACTTTGGGAGAATATGAAGTCAAATACCTGCACAAGGCGCGGCGCGGTCCCACCCGGAGAAACATGACAGTGGACCCGCGCGGCGGATGGAAGGACACTGGACCGTGAACAGCCGTGGACGCGGGTTGGTCACGGTCACGTGACATTCTCTTTCATGTCACATTCTCGAAAGTCGACCGAAACATGCATATCCGCCTGAATGAGCGGGAATCGAATCCAAACCCCCATGTCAATTTCATTTCTGCTCTTGCCACCAGCGAATCTGGCAACCAAGAAGACGCCAGGCAATTTCTCCGTGCACTCGCAGCTCAAGTCCGGCCAGTAATGAAAGCACATGGATTCGAAGTAAACACCTTAGAAGAGGTATCCCACGTAGTCAGCGTGCTGCTATCCCCTTCACTGAAAACCATCGATGTAGTATGAGTATAATCGGGTCTTTGCTGGCCGCAACTGGAATAATGGCGAGACAATAGGCCAGTCCAGAGATCTTGTCTTGTTTTCGAACACTCTGAGACGCCGTGACCTATTACAGAGCTCGTGCTACGCGGGCCCAACGGCTCATTTCACTCAACGTCGTGGCTGTTGAGTACATTTTGCCATGAAGTATGTTGAAGACTCTAGTCTCGGAGTCCTGGTACGCATACTCACTTTTTTGGACAGCTAGCACACATTGAAGTTCGGAACCTGCCATGTTTTTACCTTCTGCTGAATTTGTTCTTTGAACATAGCATATGAACCATGGCCCGGCTTTTCAAGCTCTCTGGAAGCAACTGCGCGCAGAGGTCCGTGCCCTCCAGGAAAAAGGATACTATGGAGATGGTGCCGCAAACCGTTCCATCTTCTTGAAGACGTTAGATTTGATACAGTACTTAGGCTATTGGTCATCTGGGACTCGTTTGATTGACTCGGCGAAGGTGACCGGCGATGGCATTGAAGCAGGCGAATTTCCAGAATTCATGGTGATTTCATTATTCTTGTGACTGATTGACAATTCACAACCCACAGTGCGGGGGCGCACACTCTCGAGCACGACCAACTCGACGCAAAAGGCGCACTGACCCGAAGCGACCAGGAGAACCTATTGCCTCGCACAAGACTGGAAGACAGACGGCCAAAAAACGGAAGGCTGGGGGTAGGGTCACTTCACAAGGGGCGTTTGTTGGCGAAGGTTTGTCGTTAGTGAAGAACCTGGAGCCAAAAAGTAAAGGAACTGGATTCGGGAAACAAGCCGCTAGGTAGGTTCGAGATAAAATGAAGCAAAAGAATCCGACTTGTCTGGTTCGAACAGACGACACCCAGATATAGATTACGTAACCATTACAGTCTGATGCTCTTCCAACTGAGCTAAAGTCGGCCTGCTCAACTCTGGTGTATAAAGGGTAAACATATCCAATAAACCGCAGACAGTTAATACGTGCCACGAAGGCTTACACTTCAATGACAATAAGCAAAGTGGACTTTTATTATGCGTAAGATGGAAAGCAGATTCTGTATAAGCTAATACAGAATACGGGTATAGAGGAAGAGCCCTTTGGGCTCTGCTGCTTGAGCGAGAGAGCGCAAGATGCACAGGAACTGTCTGGTCCATGAAAAAGACCCAAATGTGTTCGCTGCGTTGATGGCTCTAAGTGTGAGGTCCAGCTCTGAAGATGAAATCGGAAGCTGGGGTGGTGCAATACATGTCACACTTTTGCTCCTGTCGTGACATGACATGTGACCCACGTGACCTCAGAGACACAGAGTGGCGTGAGACCAAGGATCGGTCAAGAGTTCGCTTCTCAGATACGATCGAGATGATCGAAGAAGTACCGTTGCCCGGGGTTCTGGCAGATTGATCAATAGGATTCTATCAGATTCTGATGTTCTCATGATATTCTATCAGATTCTGATGTTCTGTATATATTTAGTTCACTTCTCACATTAGTAACATAGTTTTCCCACCATTAGTAATAAGTGTTCTCACGTTAGTAATACCTCTTATGCTAGCTACAACAGTATATAAGTAGCAGCTCTCTGCCTGTAGTAGTTAGGCTTTTATTCCATCTTTTCGCGCACCTCGCTTGTACAGGGCCCCTGACCCTTCTGCCTTGCCAGAGTCAGTCCTGGAGAGCTGCTTGATTGTGACATAATAAAAGCCTGACCTTCTTACCCTCGTACTGCCCTTCCCCTCCACCCTCTCCTCCCCTTCGCGCACTATTTGTGTACTTCTACTCTCTACTCCTCTGCGCACTCCTTGCGCACCCCTCTTACCCTAACCCCTTACCTTCATCCTTCCCCTATCCGCTTTACATCCCGGCACATGTGTTGCCGCTCTACCCTTGGATGTCCCTGGTCGATTTGTATAGATCCCACGTTATACTCATTGGTTCTTGATGCGAACCCTTGAGTGCGCCCGTCACGCCACCTTGCCTCTGACACCTTCGGCTACACGCGTGGGGAACCCACTCAGCAGACAGCGCTTAAGCTCTATGGGAAACATTGAGTCCGTCCCTGAGCGACAACAGCTTTAGACGACTGGTTGTGCCCTTGGACAGGTACAGTCGTGAGAGCACCAGGAGGGTCGTAGAAGACCCGGGCTCTTTCTGCAGCAAGAGGTCCTCCCTACATCACGATTGGAGCTAGATCGCGCATTCGACCACCAAGGTCCGCATTCGACCGGGCGTTTGACTGAACGAGTCCGCCATACCCCAAGCTACGTGTTGCGGCGTCTTTGTTACGCCCGCCCCCGATTCCTCAAGTTGCGACGTTTCGCGCACACCCCTCTCCCTCGTCCGATTCGGACAGTTCGGGCGAAAGCCCAATCCTATCATACTCCGCGGTTTTCATCAAACCGCGTCCCGACACCTCTACCACCCTTCGTACCTTCCAAGCTACCATGTCCCGACCCACATCCCCTCATGACTATGATCATCCGATGGCCATTCCAGGCTCATCTCACCAACCACCCCCAACACCCGCTCCAGGATTTTCCCCGGAGATTCAAGTGGCTATCAATGTCACAGTAGCTGCCGCTGTAGCAGTGCTTGCTGCACCGGCTCGTTCCACTTTATCCAAGATCGTCTTGGCAAAGACCCCCGCTGTCTTTGATGGCACCAACAAAGCTGAGTTTGAGACTTGGCTGGACATTTTAAGCACGTACATGGGTGCTTATGAATCTGAGTTCGATGCGGAGTCGAAACAGATGTTTTTCACGCTCTTGCTCTTGAGGCGTGAAGATGGGAAGGCCTGCCCGGCCTCAATATGGGCAAGAAATTTTAAAAGGAGTCAGATGCACGAGGGAGTGCAGCTGGCTTCTTGGAATGAGTTCCTTGAGGGCTCAAAGCGACGTTCCAGGATCGGAACGTGACAGAGACGGCACATTTGCGCCTTATCCAGACTTGGCAGGGAAAGACACCCTTGGCTGAATTTCTCTCAGCATTTGAGTTAAATGCTGAGGAGGCGGGCTATAGCCCGGAGGAGCGTCATCAGGAGGTTTTCCTGGTGAAGCTTTTGGAGGATTTCGTCGCGGACGAGGTTCAGCATCAGCTCTATGCTGGTGGAAACCGGGTTCCGGAACGCTACCGGGATCTGAAGGAGAAGTTGCTTGTCATTGCAGGCAACCTCAAGCAGGAAAAAGCCCGCAAGTTGAAGGGGACCATGTTCTGGTCTCCGGCGAAGACTTCAGCGATGGGGTCGACGCAGCCAGGTGCCACCATGCACCTGCAGAAGAAGTTGGGGCCGGGAGAAACGGCACCAATGGATCTTGATCGTCAGAAGCAGGCGATTAAATGTTTCAACTGTGGCAAGGAAGGCCACATGTGTCGGGAGTGCCCAGAGCCACCCAAGAAAAAAATTCAACATCCGGTCGATCCAACTTGACCAGTACTCGGAGGACGATGTGAAGGCTCTGGCGGCCATCCTCCGAGAGAAGGGTTTTTAAAAGGGCCCCCGCTTATGGCCAAAGCGGCACTGGCCCCGGTTGTGAAGGACTCCCCCCTATGTTCCCCCTCCCCCGTACATACTATGTTTTCTGTTTTATCAGACGAATCCAGCCTTGGATACTCTATTTAAAATGTTGCTTTTAAAACTGTCCCTGCCAAAGAAACGAGAACAGCAGAGACACCAAAAAAGATTATTTTGGAGAATCAGAATTGGTCACGCAGGATTAAAAACCAGAAAATCGATAAAAAGAATAAGTTATGGGGAGAATTTAAAAAGGCCACCAGAACCCAAACTGGTAAAAATAGTGGACAGAAACAGGGTGGTGATGCCGCGGAGGCTCAATCCATGAAACTGGAGGTAGCACCTGTGGAAACTGTGGAAACCGTGGAAGCCAAGGAAGTTTCAGAGGCTTCAGGGGTTTCGGCTTTGGCAGTCCGAACAAAGGTCCCATTCCGACTGAAGAAGCAGGAGGCTGCGCGTTGGCTAGCTCGCGGCGCAATGAGTGTCTCAGAGAACCTGTTGGAACAGGAGCTGCGTGCGTTCCAGTTACAACGCACAAGGCATAAGATGCTGGTGTCAATGACGCTTGAGGTGTTAGACACAGGGAAGACTCGAACGGTCAAAGGCCTGTTGGATACGGGTTGCACCGCCACGTGCATTGACCGGGACTATGCGAAGGCTGAGAACTTCGAGATGAAAGAGCTGGAGTCTCCGATTATGGCCCGTAATGCCAACAGGACTGAAAACGTTAAAGGACGGATCACTCATTACGTAGAGTTAATCATCACGATTGGACCACACTCCGAACGTCGGAAGTTTTCGGTTACCGGACTCGGGAAGGCCCGTATCTTTATCAGATATGGCTGGTTCTTCGAGCATAATCCGTCGATCAACTGGCGTGATCAAAAGATTTTATTCAATCATTGTCCAAAAGAATGTGGAATGGATGATGAGGAGTTCTGTGCGAGCACAGATTCGACTAAATTTATGAAAGATGGAGAAAGTCTTCTTGTGGTCGACTTTTCACATGCAATCGAGTTACGTGTGAAGTCCACTTATGCGCAGCAGTTCGCAGAGGAGGTGAATGCTGATCATGAGAAAATAACGGCTGATAAGATCCCGGAACAGTATCGGGATTACGTCAAGGTGTTTGTGAAGGAGTCTTTCGACACCTTACCGGAGAGGCGACCGTGGGACCACGCGATCGAGTTGAAACCGGACGCCAAAGCCGTCAACTGTAAAATATACCCGCTCTCACTGGATGAGCAGAAGAAACTCGACGAGTTCTTAGATGAGAATTTGAAGAGTGGACGGATCCAACCATCCAAGTCACCGATGGCGTCATCATTCTTCTTTGTCAAGAAGAAGGACGGGTCACTTCGACCGGTACAGGATGACCGTAAAGTAAACGAGATGACGATTAAGAATCGTTATCCTCTCCCGCTGATCTCGGAGCTGGTTAATAAACTCCGAGGCGCGAATTATTTTACGAAGCTGGATATTTGCTGGGGTTATAATAACATCCGGATAAAGGAAGGAGACGAGTGGAAAGCCGCCTTCAGAATGAATCGAGGCTTGTACGAGCCTCTCGTGATGTTCTTCGGCTTGGCAAACTCGCCAGCCACCTTCCAGACAATGATGAGATATTCTTCGGGAGCTGGTCAACGAAGGACATGTCGTCATTTATTTGGATGATATCCTTATTTTCACAGAAACCCTGGAGGAACACCATCGGGTTGTCGCCCGAGTGTTGGAGACACTTGAGAAGCATAAATTATACCTTAAACCCGAAAAGTGCGATTTTGATAAAAAGAAAATCGAATATTTGGGTGTAATTATTTCACATAACTCCATGAGAATGGACCCGGTAAAAATTGCTGGAATCATGGAGTGGCCAGAGCCAAAGAGCGTCAAACAAGTGCAGGCGTTCCTAGGCTTTGTTAATTTCTATTGCCGTTTTATTCGCGGGTTTAGCGATGTCGCAAAACCGCTAACTAAGTTAACTGGCAAGGCCAGCTGGACTTGGGGTGACGATCAACGGAATGCCTTTGCCGAGCTAAAGCGAAGGATTGCTGAAGATGTCGTGTTGGCGTTACTGACAGACGATGGGAAATTCCGTCTAGAGGCAGATGCTTCCGAAGGGGCCACGGGTGCAGTACTCAGCCAGGAACAGGATGGCCAATGGCGACCTGTTGCATTTATGTCTCATGGGATGAACAAGACAGAGCGAAATTACGAGATCTATGATAAAGAGATGCTCGCGATAATGCTTGCCCTGGAGGAATGGAGGCCAATGCTCATGGGAGCTCGGCATGAAGTTGAGATTCTGACAGATCACCAGAATCTGGAGTATTTTAAGAAGCCGCAAAAAATAAATAGGCGGCAGGCTAGATGGATCACGGAGCTAGCTCCATATCATTTTACGCTTAAACA